GGAAGAACTTCTTGACTTTGAGGGTGACAGAGCCCTGGAACAGGCTGCCCAGGGGGGCTGTGGAGTCTCCTTCTCTGGAGATATTCAAAGCCTGCCTGGACAATGTCCTGTGCAACCTGCTCTGGGTGAGCCTGCTTGAGCAGGGGGGTTGGACTGGATGATCTCTGGAGGTCCCTTCCAACCCTTGCCATTCTGTGATGCTGTGATAACTGCATCTACTATAAAGTTTATAATTTTGTGTTGGTAATATTGTATTTGTATTATTTTATAAATTATTAAATTTTTGTTTATTGCACATTCTCCAGTCTGGTTCAAACACAACCTCTGTTTGCCGAAAACCAACTCATGCTTTAGAGCAAACCTGCAGGAAAACAGTGATACCCCCCCCAGCAAAACCCAACCAGCCCTACACCTTCCCTGGGGCTCCAGACACTTCACCCTACAGCTTCATGCCTCAAATAAAGCCCGACGCAAGTCCAGAAGGAAAAATGACTTGCCATTTGGGTTTTTTTTCCTGGCTGCATGGGCATTTCCCAGCCCTCAGACCACAGTCCCCCAGCTGGGAAATCCATCCAACAGCTTCACCCTCGCTCCACGGCTAATGCATGAGGTTAACACAGCACAAAGCTAACTGCTAATTACTGGGTCCACCCCAGTTCTGCTGTGCCAAAAGAGGAAACGAAGGGGACGGGCAGGAGCTGTTGAGGGCTGGATTTAGGGAACCCTGCTCCAGGCTCTTGACCCCACCCCCAGGGTTTTGGCCTGCAAAAGAGGAAGAAAAGGAGCCAAAAGGCTCTGCCAGAGCTGCGTGCCTGGACACGGGGCTGCTTTCACATCCTTTTCTCCTCCAGTACCCCCCAAAAGCCCCACAGCTCAACCTCATGCCAGAGCTGGTCCTGACAAATCTGCTGATTCACGGGATTATCCTCAGCGTGCAATTAGCCACAGACCCAAATCTCCTTGGGCTCAGGGCTGCAGCTTCCCCCTCTCTGTTTTCTATATCTCCCTTATTAATTTATTTTTTTTTTTTAAGCTTTGCTGAGGCTGCACTGCTGAACACCCTGAGCAAGGCTGTTTGCTTCCCCTCCACTTATTCCCTGAAACATTTAGCCGGGGCCAGCGGAGCCATAAATAAAAAGATAAGAGCTTAAAGCAGCGCTCACAGTAGGACACTTACGGTGCTACAAAAAAAATGAAATCTTTAATTTCCAGAGAAAGGTCCAAATATAGCAAACATATCATGCTACTGTCTGCTGCATTACATACAGTCAGAAGATATCAAGTTGTCTTATTGTTACCGTTATTTCATTTGAATTACAATTGCACCCATAGTCCAGGGGGTAATTTCCAGAGATTCCACCAGTGCTTCAGAGGATTCAGAATCTAAACCAGCAAGCAGCATACACAGGAGGAATGGGAGAATATTAAAGCATACCCTTTTTCAAACAGCAAACGTCAGCTTCTTCCACCAGCAACCTACCTACCCCCCCCCCCAAAAAAAAAAAAAAAAAAACCATTACCCAGTGCCTGCATTGCACTGAACTTTTCTGCTTTTAACCCTAAAAATGGAGAATTGCAATTTGCTGGGAGACCAGTGAAAAACCTCTCCCTTTCCCCCCTCCACCCTCTATTTTTGTTGTTGTCAGCACCACTAATTCGGGGTGTGCCTGTGCTCGCTGAACAGCGCCCGGGCTGGCACGCTGCTGCCCTGCCAGCCTGTCTGCAAGGGGAGAGATTTTGCAAACCTCGAGCCCGAGAAGCATTCCTGGCTGGGGCCAGCCTTTATCAGTAGCCCTGCAAGTTAAACACACCCAAAAAAACCCCTTCCCACAGCTGCCGCGCTTGCCATATTTTCTGGATCAGCTGCAAAAAAAAAAACCAAACAAAAACAACCCTAGCAAAGCGATTCAGAGGGCTAATCTCGTTTTAACCTAAATTCATTCAGCACGATGCAAAAGCAGCATAATCTCCTGCAGCTAAAAAAGCCGGTGAGCCTCCAGCAGAGCTGTCCCCTACCCAAAGGAAAGCGTTCCTGCCATGTACCGTAATGCTCCAGAGACTCCCATTAATTCCCCTATTCCTACTGGGGGTTGTAAATATTTGTATTTCAGAGCCCAAAAGGCTGATGAGGGAATGGGCAGTAGGAGAGAGAGGAGCTTTGCCTCCGCAGGTTTCACAGGCTGAAGCCCAACACCAGATAAAGGATTTGGGACAAGGATGCGGTAGCGGGTGGGATGGGAAGGCGCAGGGAGGCTGGCTGGGGTTTGGGTACCAAGTTGCTGTCTGAGATCTATGCCACCCAATAACACAATTTCTACCTAGGAGCTGGGGGTGTTGGTGCTTTCTTACGACACAGGACCGCGGGAAAAGATTAGGAAACCCCCTTTTGCACTCAGGGATGCCAGGCAGGGCCAAAGGGATCGTGGACAGCACAGCCACTCGCGCTTCCCTCCCGGGCCCGTCTAGGACACACTGGCACACCTTGGATGCTCACTGCTCGCCCCAAGGGCATCATGCCATTAGCTAAAGGGAGGATGCATGCATTTGCATTGCTTATGAGAGTCCTCACTCCCTCCAAAGCATGAAAAAGCTCTTTTTATTACTTTTTTTTTGGTTGTAGTGGTTTTTATTTATTTATTTATTTATTTTGCAAGACTGCTTTTGCAGGCCTGGTTGCTGGAAACACGCAGTGCAGCACCCACACAAGCCACCAACGGGGCAACCCACTCCTTCGGCTCAAACCAGTTGAGGATGGAGAGAAACCGTCTTGATTTGTCTGCATTTGGGTGGACCAACCATCAACAGCCAAACTTGGCTTAGCTCTAATTAAAGGCTTTCCAACTAGCAGATTAAAAAAAAAAAAACAAAACACCCAAATGAAGTTACCTCAATGCCTGCTCCCATCATTAAGCAACCGGCTCCCATGGCCGCTCGTGGTCTGGACCACTGCAATGCAGCTCAGCTGCTGGCACGAGGCTCCAGGGCTTTGGTCTCCCTTGCACAACCTGCTTCCCACAGCCTTCTGCATCCCTGCCAGAGCCACTCCATCCCGCCCCCACCCACAGTGCGGGAGCCAATTCAGGGAGAAGAGGTAGACAGGTTACAGCAGGTAATACCTTGCAGAAACACCATGCTGAATCTGCACCCCAGGGTGCTTTCAAGCTTTGACATCCCACGTGCCGCTTCAAAGCGGCAACCGGACCAGGACCTTCAGGGCAGGGGGATGGCCAACACCTAAGGCTGATCATGAGGGATGCTAATCCTTTTTCGGATGCATGGGGAAGGAGAACGTGCCAGCTCAGGTGAGTTTGTTTAAAAAGACACCTCCTTTGCTGAAACGAGCCCCATTTCCCATGTGGACCCACCCGAGCCCCTGCTCAGAAGATCAGCAACCCAATTTTACCAATTTCTAGGAAAACAAGTGAAAGTTGCAGGGGACCACCAGGCTCCAGGTGCTGCTGGACACTGGGGAACACAACACACTGTTTTAAAAAACAAAGAGGTATGTCGTCCAGGACAGCTGGTTGGAAGTCCAGAAGACTTGCATAAAAGTATCTGAGATTTGGGTTTGCTCATTCTCGAGACCATCCACTCGCTGCTTTTTCAGTTACGGGCACACATCTAAGGTGAGCAAACGGCTCATGGTTACTCCATCATTAGGAGTACACCATCCAAACAGGTCACCTGATAAACCCTGTTTCTGGAGCTACCACCCACATTTTTTGTGCTGTTTGAGAAGCACCACCTGATAGTCTTGGCCAAAACAGCACAACGCTCAGGAGCACTGAGCACCGCACTACCCAAGTCTGTTAATCAGGCACGGCGCTGATGAACAAGCCCCATCTTTTATCTCATGTCCTAGCCCAGCACTTTGCTGTAGTAGTCAAAGTCGAAGCAGTAACTAGGAGGACAGAGGTTACTACCTGCTCCAGGAGAGCAAGAGGACAACGTGTCCTTCTGGGACATTGCACATACTGGAAACTAATTCACATGTGCAAAATTACAAGTTTCTCCGCCTCTCTCCTTTTCCTAACCATATCTTTGTCTTGGGCTTTTAATTTCATTTTTTCCATCTTTCTTATAAAAAAAAAATTATCTTGGACTATAGTAGGAAATGAAAAAGCTACGTGCTGCTTAATTACCAGGAACTAGAAAGGAAGAAAACATCAACTGAGCAGGAGTGATTTGGCAGCTGGCAAAGAGAACCTATCCAAAATTTGGGCAGGACACACGGGGCAATGCTTGGCACGCACCTGACCCGGCGTCTCTCAAAATCACAGGCCCAGGACCCCTGCTAATGTATCGAAACTGGTGATTCCACACTACAGTTAGGAGGGACCAAGATGTTCCATGCACTAAACGAAGTCACGCAGGATACGCGATATGGTGAAGGGCCCTCTTATAGGGGAAAGTTTGGGATGGTTGAAAAGGGATTTGGGAATCCCTGCCGTGACAAACGCTCTGCCCCACAGTCTTTGCTATACACAAAGGTCCACCAAGTGCCCCCTGAGGTTTGCAGGCACCTACACATTCTCCTTTGGGTCTGGGTCACTGCTAAGGCCAGCAGGAAATGTTTCACCAACTGGTTTAGGGGGAAGAGCCCTTCCTCGACTGTCCCACCTCTATCCATGTGTCATTCCATTGGCTTCCACATTCAGAAGCAGCCCCATCCATCACCTTTACAGACACTTCCAGAAGACTGCCGAATTATCACAGCCAAAACCACAAAAGCATGCTGACACCTAAGAGCTGCTGAAGAAGGGCAACATCTCTGGAGGACAACATGCATGGACTTCCCCATGCCACCAGTCACCACCTTGGAAGAAGCAACTCACTGCTTCACAACAGCAACACTTATTGCTCAAGGATGCTTGGACCTTCTCACAAAATCCTGGGCATTCAGTTATAGCCTTTAAGAGCAAGTTTAAAGGGGGATGCTCTTTTCCTCCACGTCCCCAAGACGGGGGCTCAAGTATGAGGTCCTCCTGGTGACCTTCAAAGATACACACACAAACCACAACACGTGGGACTCAAGAGCTTGCCAAAACTTTGACAAGGTTTTGAGTGAACTTTGGCAAAGCTTTGCTCAAAAGCAACGTAAAGCTTAAATATAAGCCCCTGAGGAGCTCAAGGGGGGAAAATGAAGTCCAGCTACTTGGCTATCAGCTAAGCTCGAGGCCGCAGCTGGGTCCCACGCACCCAACATGCTTGCCAGGGCCAGACGAGACGTGCACCGCATCAGACAAGAGCGCGCAAAGCCCAGCCCGTCATTACCGGCGTGGTGTCCTCCATCAGGCCTCGTATCTTCTCCACCACGTCGTTGCGGCGGTGCTGGCGGAGGGCGCTGATAACTGGTAGATGTCTTTCCACTGGCTCCCCCCCTGGGCTGCCACCAGCTTCAGGATGTCGATGCCTGCAGGGCAGAAGAGCTACAGGTAAGCATGGGGCTTTGCAGCCCCTTGGTGCTGCAGATCTAAGCTTTAACAAAGCTTCTCCCACCCCCAAATAGCCATGCTTTGCTTTTCTTTGGTTGTTTCTTGTTTGGAGATTTTTATTGTTATTGTTATTTTTAAGACCTTTCATGACTCCAGGCTGCAAAGAGCTCTGCAGACACGCAGCACCCATTAAAGTGCTCAACACCTGCTATGCAAGTAAAGGGTGACAGACCCACAGATTGCTCCAGCTGAGGCACACACACTCTAAAATGAACCACATTAATTTAACCGTAAAATTTCCTGCGCTCTTCAGCACAGGAAGAAACTTGGCACTCAGCCACCGCACGGCTGCCAGGGCAGGGGAGATGGCAACACCATCGCCCATACGCCTGCTACTGCTTTGAACAGGAGCTAGATTAAGAGGAGTCATCAAAGCATCTCTATAAAGACAAGTATTTCCATAACAGAGCACCTATAGCAGCTACCGTCTCATTCAGAGCCGTTTCCAGTGCAGACTGGTGGGGCAACTCAGTTACGGGATGGGAGAAGCTGCACAAGGTGAACGCTGGGTGAGTGGAAGATCTAGAGTGGGATCAGAAGAGCAAAAAAGGCAGAACTTCCCCAAGAAAAGCCCTTGAGATGCGCTGGTTCAAGAGGGTGAGGGTTTCCCCCCTTTAGCTTTGGGCGCAATGCAAAAAGCACGCTCATCCTTGCGTCTACTAAGAGACCAGGAGTTGGACCTTCAAATAAAGCCATACCTCTTCCATCATAGCTAGTTAACCTTGTTTTATCAGGCCAAACACCACCTTGTTTTAAACCACCACATGAAGGGTCAGCATAAGGGGAGCTGCAGAGATAAACTTGCTTTTTCCGGAGAGGTACCCACACCTCGGGTTCCTGGTAAGCCTTCATCGCTGCAGGAATTATTTCTCCTTCCCTCTGCAGGCCTAAAATTTAATTTCTAATGCAGTTTAGACCAGACATCCCAACTTGCACCTTCAGATTGCAGCTCTGATATAGCCAAGTAGATATATATATTTTTTTAATACATAAAAACTATACAGTCCGATATAGACATATTGACATCTCTTTTTATATATAAACCCTATACAGCCTGATATATTTATATCTTTTTGTGTGTATGTGTATATATCTCCATATGATATATTTTCATATATCTCCATATATATTTTTATACATCTCCATATACAATATATTTTATGTATGATATATAGATGTAAAAAATGTATTTTTATATATGTCCATGATATATTTTTATGTGTGTACAAATATACACACATAAAATACCTATACAGCCTGATATATTTTTATATATGTGTGTATATATAATAGAGAGATACATAAAATATGTATATATGCTATATGTCTGTATATACACACTTATATACACATATAGAGAAAACTATACAGCCTCCTATCGATATTTTTGACCCAAACCCTTCCCACTATTAAAGCAAGCTTATCCAGACCTGCTATGTATAGACTTCAGTTTTCAGTTCTGAGCTAATGCAACGTAGCCTTGACCCCACGGGGCTCAGAGCACCCGCAGCCGGCGTTCGACCTGCTCGACAGCAGGAACACCAAATTGCAAACCGCATTTTGCACATCCCTGTCCCCCTCCCACCCTGATCTCCAAACACCCTCCCCAGCTCATTTATGGCCACATCCATGTGCCAGGGTCAGGGTGTCTCCTACCAAAAAAAGGTCAGCCCAGCGTGGGGGATGCAGCCTCCCAAAAACCAAACCAACCACAGGGCTTGGTTTTAACTATGGAGAGGTTTTTGGGGTGAGGGAGCCGCCTTCATTATTCAAAATAAGCCCAAGACAAGGTAGCAGGAATTAAGCCTGGTCTTGTTCACTCCTCCCATTACTCTGATGAAGATAAATTCCTCTCCCTCGGCCGTTGGTCCCGCGCAGGAAGGACACACGGCCCAGATCACGCCGGCAACCAAGCCCCGTGCCTTTGGGCATCACACACCTGCATTGGTAAGAAGCCCAAAAGCCAACTCAGGTTTGGGGTCAGATCCTTTAAACCAGCAAATTCAACTAGTTTTGGCACAAAACTAGCAAAACACTAGGTTTATGCAGCCAAGGCTTAATTTTATCACTCAATCCAGGGAAAAAAGTAATCATCCCCGACTTTGAGGGTAGAAAAAGCTCCGCGAGGCTTGTGCACCAAGGTAGCAAGAGCAATGGAAAGAGGGACGAGCAGGTCTGGTGCTGCCCATTATACATCTGTATTGATATATGGATATATCTCAGTGCATAAGTTATCTCGGAGCTTTTCTACCCTCATACTCAGGGATTTTTTTTTTTTCCTGGGTTGAGCAATATCTAGCTACATATAGATAATGCTTCCCATTTTTATTTGTATATAAAAATTAAATGGTGCCCATTAGGAGAAATGTCTTCACAGAAAGGGCTGTCAGGCTCTGGAATGGGCTGCCCAGGGAGGTGGTCAAGTCCCCATCCCTGGAGGTATTTAAAAGAAGGGCAGACGAGGTGCTTAAGGACAGGCGTTAGTGGTGGGATGGCAGGGTTAGGTTAAAGGTTGGACGCGATGATCTTAAAGGTCTTTTCCAACCTAAACGATTCTATGATTTTATATACAAAATGAGCAGAGCCGGGTCGCCCCCAACAGTGCTGCCCTGTGTCGAGACAAAGCGTTACAGCTAGGTGGGAGCCTTGCCCGCACCCTCTCCCACACACGGCAGCCGTACAGAAGCATTAAAACAGAATTTGCTGTTTTATGACCCCTGTGTGGCACACCTAGTCCTCCTGGGAAAGGAAGAGCCCATATACTACCTGCTCCCATCTACATATTTAATGCTGATAAATCCCAGCATTTACAGCTGCTGTACTGGTGAAGAAAGTTTCCAGCTGGTTGCAACTTGATTTGCACCAGTTTTAGGCGGTGGCACGACCTTTACGTCCTAATGTTCTCTCACAAGATTTATGACAAGGCGCTTATACTCCTACTGACATTTTCAAGTTTAGTGTATTTAATCTCATCGTTCAATAAAGTGGCCCCATAAACATGTTTATATCCCTTGGCAATAATATCCCAGGGCACGAGAACGCACCAGGCAGCAGAGGACTTAATGGTGCGTAATAATCTTTGGAGAACAAATGTTCCATTAAAAACGAATTTGGAAATGTCTACCTTAATACTATAAGAACCTTAAACTCATTTTCTTGCAAGTATTAAATGAATTTAAGCCCCATATGTTCGCTACATCCACTACAATATTGTGCAAACAAAACCCCAGAGAGATATGGAAGAGACACAGACGTGAGCGCAGATTTGGCTCCAGTCAGTTAGAAAACCATTGCTCCCCTCTGTTCTTGAAAAATAAGATTAAAACCATTACATGACAAGTTGCGGCTGCACGCTGCCAAGTATTACTGCTCAAGCCATTTACAGTAACTTAATTCACTTGTTCAAAACTAAACTAAATGTTAATGCTTATAATAAGCTTACAGTCCTACTATTTCCATATTTCCAGAAGCCCTACAACTTACTCTGCGGAGCACTAATAGTGCCGGAGTGTCCCGTTGGGATGGGAAGGTGCCCACCAGGGTGCATGGAGCAAAAAACCCCAGCTCCACCTTAGGTCCTGGGTCCTTCCCGCCCACCAAACCACATGGACAATCTCCCACCATGCTCATCTGCACGCCGAGGCTGGAGATGATGCTCAAAGCCCTCCAGACCCCACCATTCCCAAGGAAAGCGGCCAAGCTCAGCGGGCATGGTATTTTAACCCACCCGTTTCACACCTCCCACGTGAGGCCAGTCACACCCACGTCAGTGCAATGTAAAAGCTGCTCTGGGCTTGCAAATACCGAAGAACAGCCTGAGCCGTCCTCCTTTTTTAACACGGGTCACGGGAACAGCCTGGGAGAGCTGCCACCACCCTGCTGCTAATGCAGAAGGCACCACCACCACCCTCTCCCTCATCACCATCAGGGACCATCATCATTTATCACCCAGCTTTGTTTGCCTCAGACACTGGAATTAAAGAGGAGCCCTTGTGGTGAAACCCCCACGACCACATCCAGCAGAGCTGCGCGTGCCTCGGCCATCCCAGAGCAGACGAGCGTCTGAAGGATCCAGGACACCCACACATGTCTTGGGCACCTGGGCATTTCAGTTACCACCATCTATCTAAACACTGCAATTCTCTGAATGTTGTGATGGGCTACTCCGGGTAACCACCTAGTATTTTAAGGAGGTGATAACCCCAGAGCAATGAAGAGCTCCCCTTCAAGCCAGGACAAGGCCAACTGGTTGCACACAGGCACACGTGAAGCCCACGGGTGGAGGTACACACACGGGAACATGGGTGCAACCAGGCTTGTCTACAGCCAGAGCAAGCTGAGTCAAGTCCAGAGATGGACAGATGCCTGCAGAGCGGCACAAGCAAACAGCCCTGCTAAATACATGTCCAGCTCATCTACAAAGCTGCTGAGCTGAAGGGAGGACCTTCCTGGAGAGGCAGGGTGGGTCTACAGCCAGGCCTCTCGCCTTCGAGCACACTGCCCACCTCCGCCCCAATCTTCCCCATAAACACCATTTCAGTTTATTTCAGTGACTTCCATTTGCTTATTTTGAATCTGGTTCAAGATTTTTTCCCACTCATTTCCAGCTCCTTCGGACGTCTCCCACCTCATTGCAGGACACAGTTTGGCGTAGACAGAGCAGTCACTCCTTCCACTCATGACCATTGCCACAGTGGTCATCACACAAGTGCATGGGACTTGGCTGAGCTTTGATGACTCTCTTGAGCTTGTTCTGGAGAAGCCTCACTCGTCTCCCATAGCCCTGCTATTTACAGGTTGGACATGAAGCCAGTTCTTCAGCAATTGTGCTGGCGTGCTTACGTACAATACCTGCAAGAGGCCATTTCTCTTCTCTGCCATTGCTTTTTCACATCTTCAAGCAAACTCAAGAGGAGCG